GGACGGATCCCTGCTGACCCAGTGGCGGACACACTGGACACTAAGGGCAGGTCTATACTACAGGGTTAAGTCAACCTAAGTTACGCAACTCCAGCTACGTGAATAATGTAGCTGGAGTCGACTTGCCTTACGCGTCTCATTCTGGTAGAGTACCGAAGTTGACAGGAGAGCAGTCTGCAGGTAGACCAGCCTGGTGGCTCGATCGCCACAGCGTCGATCCACAGTAAGTGTACACATACCCTGACACGGCCTTAGACTGGGACCCGATGGAGCAGGGAGGGCCCAGGTCCCCCTACCTGGCTGCCACCACCTCCTAGGTGGCTTCCCACACACTCCAACTGGCCACTAGGCCATACAGCCCCACCCTGGAGGGCAACTGTATTAACTCCGGTTTCTAGACCTTACTGTCTTGCAAAACCAGAGTATCTCTATGGACTCTAGCTGCTAGGCCTCACTCCCCTGAAGAGAAAGGCTCCCCCCACCCAACCTGACATAGGTCATGTGACCCTGCTGTCTTGTGGATCAGGGCGATTATATAGACTCCAGCCATTGGGCCTTAGAACCCTGTGGATCAGGGCAACTCTATGGACTTCAGCCCTTAGGTCTCACGGCCTAGAGACAGAAGGGAGCTTGAAGATTGGGGTCCCCCCACCTCATCACACCATCCTATAACTAGATGAGATTGTCTGACTTGTATTATGCAGGTTAGACTATGACATAATGGTCCCTTCTGGACTTAAAATCTATAAAAGTAGAAACCCAGTGCTTAATTTGTGCCGGGGCTTGCCAAGGCTGAGACCCGGCACTTCCAGGCTTGGCAGTTCATAGCCTCGGCACCTCCGGCCTCTCCTCGTCAGATATGAAAGTAAAAAAAATTGCTCAAGCCCCAGCATCTCTTTCATCACAAATTAAACACTGTAGAAACCCCAGATTCACAGTGTCAAATGTCCTGTATTGCCAAATTCATGGTGACACCAATTCCAAATTCACAGCCACCAAACGCTGCACAGTGTCACCACTCTCAAATTTAATATAGCCAAATTCACACTGTCACCAAATTCTTGTATTGCCAGCCCCCAATTCAACAAACCCAACATACACAATGTACTTTTCTGATGCCTTGGTTGTACTGATGTTGAGTTGTTGACCATGAAACACAGATGTCTGTCTAGATCAGTGGTTCTCAATCTGTTTATTATTGTGGGCCACAGGTTTTAGGGTGCACCCTAAAACCACTCACAGTCCCTTATGCCCAGCGCCCCTGCCCAGAGTGGGGCCAGGCGTGGAGCTGGGCAGCAGTGGGGATCCGGACCCTGCCACATGGGGCCAGGCAGCAGCTGGGACCCCCAGTGCCAGCCAGTAGCATAGCACCTGGTGGGGCTGGCAGCTAGGACTCAAGAAGGGGGTCAGGAGTGGAGGCCCACCTAAAACTGGGGGCAAACCCCTAGTTCCCTGAGCCCCCCAAAAAACTTACCCACAGACCTACTCACCAGCCCACTGCTGGCAGAATCATAGAATATCAGGGTGAGAAGAGACCTGAGGAGGTCATCTAGTCCAACCTCCTGCTCAAAGCAAGACCAACCCCAACTGAATCCCCAAATGGTCCCTTCAAGGATTGAACCTACAACCTTGGAGTTAGGAGGCTAATGCTCAAACCACTGAGCTATCCCTCCCCCTCCCCCTCCCCCTAGGGGTGCATGCTGCTGTCTCCCCCTCAGCCAGCCCTGCTCCCTGCCAGACCAGAGCAGCAAATTTTGAATTTTCTTTAGCACATAGTTGGGCTGCAGATGTGTGCTAATTGGCCGCATGTGGCCCGCGTGTTGAGACCCGCTGGTTTAGATCATCACAGTCTTCAACATCACCAGGGATCCTAGTTTTCCGTGATAAAAAAACCACAAAATTTCTCATAAAAAAACATAAAAATCTTCATTTTTCAGCGATTAAAATGAAATGCTGAACTTTCGTTTCCCTAGCCATAATATATAGAGTATCACTTGAACACAATGTTTATTGATATCTTTACCACTTTAAACAAGTTTGAAGCCTCTTGTTTTCATTTCTTTTAATTCTGTTTATGTTGAGCTCTTCCATTTGTTCTACAATTGGCTGCCTTCAAATGTAATCTACAACCTTGCTGCATCCTGTACAGAACCGCACATTACCATCAACGTGAAATTTGTCCTTGCCAAAGTCCGTGACACGGTCTTTAGGGGCGGTTTTTAAAGTTTTTGGCTTCTTTTCGTAACTTTACTTACTGTACATCTAAAGAGCATTCAAAAATCAAGCACAAGAGGGGGAGGTTGTGCACATTGAGTAAGTGACACTGGTACTTTCAGTAACATTTAGTGAATATATGTTTTTATTTTTTCACAAATTTAAAGATTCTCTGTAAAAATGCAAATTCTGCATTTTTCTGCAGCCAATGGATTTCTACGATCCCTGAACATCACACAGCTTACAGTCCCGGCCTTTGCACTGGTGGTCTTTTTCCGTGTAGTACTGACACCTGTCACACAGCATCTTGGACTGGCTTTGCTTCGGGTTGCCAACAGGGCCGGCTCCAGGCACCAGCTTGCCAAGCAGGTGCTTGGGACGGCCACTCTGGAGAGGGGCGGCACGTCCAGCTATTCGGCGGCAATTCGGCGGACGGTCCCTCACTCCCGCTCGGAGCGAAGGACCTCCTGCCGAATTGCCGCCGCAGATCGCGATCGCGGCTTTTTTTTTTTTGCGCCGCTTGGGGCAGCAAAAACCCTGGAGCCGGCCCTGGTTGCCAAGGCCTTCTGTCTCTCTAAACACAACCGGGACCTGCAGCACACCCTGCCAGTGTC